TGGACAAGAGAACTACAAGCATCTCACAGCTCTGTGTCGTGTTTGCATGTTTGCCCGTTTGCCCACTTTGTCAGGTTAGAGCTCTGCTGAGACATAGAGCCGCGAGTCAAACAGAGTAGCAGGTCTGAGGAAGCAGGACTAGGCGGCAGACTAATGAGGTGTTTATACACCTCTATGCTGCGTAAAATTCTTTTGTAAAATCTGCTTATTAAAAGTAGGGAATGTGATCCATCCATCCACCCATTTTCTGTAACTGCTTGTCCTGTTCAGGGGGGGTTACGGGGTCCGGAGCCTATCCCAGAAACTATGGGCGCAGAGCAGATCGACATTATATGAGAGAAAAAATTAATACATTTTAGTGATTTACACAGCATCCCGGGAACAACTGGCCCGTTATTTAACTTTTCCCATTATTTCCAGCAGAGGTCAGGCTACAGCAAAAGTCCTAAATGAGGTTCCTGAAGGAATCTTAGCTGGTTTGTCCCTGAAGGTATGGCGTGTGTGTTTGGGTGTGTGTGTGTGTGTGTCTGTGTCTGTGTCTGCGTGTGCATGTGTGCGTGCAAAAGGCCCTCAAATATGACTTATTTTCCATAGGGCCTAAAAAGTGAAAAATACCATCTTGACTGATATTGAATTAATTGTTGCTGGTTGATTTCTTGTTATATTCTTTTAAAGGCAGCCCGTAGTTTACCTATGTATTCATGAATTTGAATGTATGTATTGATATTTAGCTCAGTTTCATGAGCACCATGAACTGAAAAAGACACAGTTTGATAAGGTGAAGTTATTGTGCCCAAAATCTAAAAACTGCACTTCCCAAAGAAATTCCATGTCTAGATATGAATGAATGAAAGTTACATTTATATCATAATTTTTCAAGCACCCAACTGGTTTACAGAAACAATGGGGAGCCACTGCAACCATGACCACTGTGTAACGGCCACAGGGGCGTTGTGACGGCAGCCATTCTGCACCAGTACGCTCACCACACAGTAGCTAAGGTGGTGAAGGGGCAGGAGAGAATTCACCAGTTAGATACAGGGGATGATTAGGGGGGCAGATATGATAGGGTAACAGTGGGCAATTTAGTCTGGGCATCAGGGTACCACCCCTACTCTTTCAAAAGATGCCCAGAGATCCTTTAGGAGTTGAGAGTCCGGACCTCGGTTTTTACATCTCATCTGAAGCACAGTGTCCCCATCACTGCACTGGGACCTCAGGACCCACACTGACCACAGGATGGACTGACCTGCTGGCCACACCAACACCTCTGCCAGCAGCAACCCAGCTTTCCTATCTAGTCTCCCATCCAAGTACTGCTCAGGCTCAGACCTGCATAGCTGCATAGCTGCAGGGGATTACCTAATCTGCATTGCAGGTAGTATGACTGCTGGCCAGAAATGCCTATTTACATTATTTTAAGGGCAAACTGCTACCAACCAGTGGCGCAGATAAGATTTTTGAATTGGGGGGGACCAAGGATATTTTTTCCTTATGCAAAGACGGCAGATGCTGTCTTTTTGTCCTGTAAGTGGGGGGGGGACGGGACGGATCGAGGTCACTCTGAATCTGAAGGGGACCCATCCCATCCGTCCCTGGTGCTAACTGCGCGCCTGCTACCAACCCCTTATAGAACCAGATGTGTAAATATATACCAGTCATCAGTTTTAATCTTGGTAGGTTTAAATTTCTTTAAACTGGTTTATTGAAAGACAATTTTATATGATCATTATATGTTTTGTAGAATATGTACGGCAGTTCTTTGCCTAATTTAAAACATTTAAAATCGGCTTGTCATGCATTAAACCATTTCCCCAAATATGCAGCAGGAAATCTCACTACAATTGCAGTTTTAAGATGAAATCCCATGAAACTACTGGAAAAGATTATTTTAAAAACCTCCACCTGGCCAAACGCGCTTCAACATACATACAAACGGCTCGGTGTTATTCCCCACCAACCATCCCTGCTTTCTAGTGAAAAGCTCGATTAGCTACATTAATACTGATTGTTGGGATTTTCGTGTGACATTTTATATTTTGTCTTCTGGAGAAAAATACAGTCAAGACATAAATGAAGAGCAATCACTCGTCGTTTTTTGTTGTTTTCTTATTTTCTAAGTTTGCTATTGGTTATTTAAAACACTTTTTCAAAACGTCACGCAGATTCACGCCGCGCCCACTTCGCCTCACTTAAAAGGAGCTCAGTTGTATTCAGACTGAGGGTCATAAAATACTGGTGTTAGGAATAGCTTGTGATAGTAAAAGATGCCTTGTCAGGATGTTAAGCTTTCCGAAGAGACGTTCGTGATGAACGTAATACCGCTTCTCAAAGAGGGCATCCTTTGCTTTAATAATATTTCGGTCATTATATTTACTAATGAAGGCAACACGAATAACAAATACGATGAGCTTCGCTCTTTAATTATTAAAGGGAAGGATAATTTTGTGCAAGCAGAACAAAGAGCTTCTGGTATTTTAGCAAGTATAGATAAAGAGTATGAGGAATTAACTCAACAGAAAGGAAAACTGCAACGACAACAGGATGATAAGAAAACCGAATACAAAAACCTACAAGACCAGCTTGCAAGTCAGCGGAACATACTACTGGAGCGTCAGAGATCATTAGCGAATGCAAATACATACTTACAAGCAACACAGGCAAAAGTTAATGAGATGCGGAGAAGAATGGAGCACGATGAAGCTGTGAGGAACGCTGGGATCGGTCTGATGTTCATTCCGTTTGTTGGAACCATAATTGGTGAGTGATAAATTTGCAGAGTTGTTTTTTATATATCGTATTTCATATCAAGTTTAAAATGGCCCACTATATTTTAATGAGAAAAATGTTATTTAAGGTATTATTCAAGCCAGAAAACAAAGGAGTCTCAAAGTTAGTGTACTGTACGTGCTGTTAAACTCTAACAGACCAAACCAGGTGGAGCGTGATTCATATTTAGCTGGAAGTATCACAGGTTTGAGTTGCAGGGCAGGTGGGTACCAGCTTCAGGGCATCTGCAGAAAAACACCCTTAATACTGTCAGACATGAGTAAGAACTGATCTGGGCTGCGAACAGAAGCATGTGACCAAGGGGTGGGAGAAGGAAGCTTAGGGACTGTTTTAGGGAGCAGGAGTGCTGAGGAGCACAAGGGAGACGCAGGTGTGGGATTTGATCTCAAACTAGAGGTCTGGGGGCTTCAGGATTTGTTTGGTGCCTGAGAGAAAAGAGAGATTTTATATTATTGTCAATGCGCCTCTTACAGTACCTCATTATCTTTCCTATTGTCTTGCCACTGTGATTTCATGTTTTGAATTATCAGCATATGGCAATTAGAATGTCTCATGTATGATTTTTAACTTGTTTTACAGGAGCTACCCTGATTGGGGTCTACCAGACAGATCTGAACAACGCAACTGATGCTAAAAATCGGGCTCAAAGTGAAGTTCACAACTGGGAACGTGAAGTGGCAAGTAGTTCTCAAGGTGTTTCTGACTGTCAGACAAAGATCAACCAGAAGACACAGGAGATTTCTCAAGTTAACACCAGTGTGGAGGTGTTAGGAAGAACCATAGAAGACGTGACAAAGCAGCGCTTTGTTATAGCTGATATCCAAGAGAAGTTCAGGAACGCTGTCAGGGTTTTGACCAATCTAGCTGGAATAGCTAAAGTAGGTGAGATACAGACCAGGAAGTTTATTTTGTTTGAGCCCCTCATGACAGTACTAGAGGAAATCTTTAAATGTGTTCTCCAAACGTCAGAGAAGAAGGGTCAACTCCAGTCTGTCGAAACAACTTTAAAACCAATACAAAGTGCTTTTGAAGAGAATGTGAGGAAAATGAAAGCTTTGTGTGACAAAGGGAATGATTACTGGTAGGAAATCAGTAAAACATATTTTCATAAATGAAATGAAAGTCAAGAAAGTCAGAATATATCTTTTACAAAAAATACATTTTTACTGTCATGTAAATTTCATTTTATTCAAATCCTTTAACTAGATTAATTGCCATAACAGTTGTTAGATTAATCACATCGAGTTCTACCATGTGCGTAAGTAGCTGTATGCTTTTCTACTTAAGCACATTCAGTCATTGACTAGGGTTTGTGCACATTAAGGCTGATTATACCATCCTGTGCATTCTAACTCTCACAAGCGCTTTCAAGCACATTTCCAGCTATGCGCTCTGGAGGACTGTATGACGTTAAACGCCTCCATGTGGCCAAATATAACACTGCATTTCTTTGTACAAAATCTGAATATGAACAATATGAAACGTTTTTTTTACATTTATCTTGAAATAAATGTTACCTTCCAAAAACACATGTGAATGATCATTATATAAAAATACACACACACACAAATATATTACTATTAGGCTAGATTCAACACAAGTGACATCTAGTAGGCAAATCAATTAATCTAGAAAACTGGGTAATTTTTTTTTTTAGTTTCAATTAAGAGTAAAAACACAACCTTGAAAAAAATTGAGACTGCAGCACAATTTTTTGTTTCTCGTATTTCTTAATTTATGGGTGTGGTTTGTATATATATTTTTTTTTGCAAACTGCAGCCTGGATCTTCTCTGTTTCTCATATATGAAGTGCTTCTTCCTGGCTTTATGGGACTTCACTTCCCAGTGTCTCCTGCTTCACATTTTTCTTGTGGCCATCTTAGAAATTTTGAGCCCAAAAGCAACCTGCTGCTCGGTGTAGCCTTCTGCCAGCAGAACCAGGATTAAACCAGGATTTAAAAATGCAGATTCTTAAAAAATATGGAGTGGTCTCTTAATTTTTCCCAGAGCTGTATTTTAAGTCGCGGTGTCTGCTATGTTAAAGTGAATTAGCAGCAAGTTCTTTCGGAGCAGATAACTATGACAAAGGCAGTAACTGGTTAAATATTACATGTTATTTTGTTCTATTTACCCATGTTTTATGGATCCAGCATTGAAAAGTTTAATTTGTGACTGTTAAGTGTTTCACAGAAAAGCAAGCTCTCTGTGTTTATGAAGGGAGAAGAATCGCCAGCCCCTTCCTATGTTTATGTTGTTTGCTTTTACTTTGCTGTTTTTTCTTTAAGTAAAAATAAAGTTTTTTAAGATCTAGACCTACAAGCAAGTCTTTAGTTTTATTTTGTTGTTTAAGTCATATTCACCTCCAGACTGTATTCACCATTCCCCGCCTCTCCCATCATACTGCAGTCCCCACTGGGTCAGAAAAGCTGAAGTCATACTGCTTATGAGGGACCAGCAAGCAGACAGGGGCACAGAATTTATTACTAACCAAAATTTACTGAAAATCCAAAAATCATCAAAATACAAAAGAATGTCCAACAAAGGAAAATCTTGGGCCCAATAAAATGAGGTCAACCAAACAGAATGAAACCAAAATTAAAGCAAAGCATAACCCAACCTACACTGAACATAACTGACCTCCCAAATAACACACTGGGGAAACATACTGTATATACTGGGTGATCAATCCAGCAACACACACACAAGGGGGGGAACACTACCATAACATTTATACCTACATGCCAATAACTCCATAGACCCCATAACATATTTAGCCCATGAAATTATACAAACAATTTTATAAAGGAAAACTAAATCAAAGATGTTAACTATAATATAATAAACAACTATGCCAAAACCCAACTCCCCATCCCCTTACTGTGGGCTCCCGTTGGTACCGCTGATGGGAATATAAAGGGAACCATGATGATCTGGACTGTTTGCCCATCGGACCAAAAGAATGCACACACAAATTCCAGCTGTTACACTCCTCCTGGTAACTGCAACTTAAGAATATAAGCACACGTGAATGTTGACACAACCATACCTTGTTAAATTAACATCCTGACAAATAAAATTGATTAAATGTGCCTGGTGTGTTTCATGAAAACAGTGATGAAAAAACCAAACCATGTAAAAATGAAACCGGGGTAAAACATATTCAAGTACTGTAGCACTTGTGCTTGCAGGTCAAGGTGGGGTTACCATCTCTGGCCATCACACTGCTGCTATGCCGCACCCGGGCCTGGCCTGCCCCTAACCCTCCCTCACCATGCCACGTCACATCACCAACATCCCTAACCCTAACCCTACCCTGTCCACTGGAGTTATCGAGCAGGAAGCAGCACACGGCCATGGTTGCACAATTATTTCATTATTTGTAGAAGCCCAATGTCTTTATTATTTAGAAATGTGACCAATCATTTCTGACCATTAATTTTATATTTAAACTGACCCCCTCTTTAAACTTTCTCCAGTGCACTCTCTTATCTCCAGCTCTCCACTGCTCTAAGTGACCAATTATCTGCAAGCCTCAGAGCCAAGTCTCGTAGGATTTGGTGGCATGTCCATCATCATATTGTATCTAATCATACTGCATCGCAATAAGGGTGAATCATATCGTATTGCAACAGATCACATCACAGAGATGGAGATGCACATCCCTACTAGACCATGTCATATTCCTATAATCCCGACTAAAATAAGCAGTTAAGAGGATAGATACAAATACAGTACAAACCACAATTACTAAAACCAGTTTGAGTTACAACCTGTTCACACATAAATCTGTTAGCAGCATCAGCATATTTGGAATAGTAACCTAGATCAGTTCAGACTTGTCTCCTCAGAAGCAGTAGGTTGTTATTCTTACATTTAGTTTTTTTTTTTTTTGGCTGCAGCTGTAATAAAATTTGCTTTACATGACAGTTTAGGTAAGTTCAATGGGAGGGTTAAACCCATAGTTAGATGACACTGTATTCAGCTTGAACGTCCTAATTAAGTAATTTTTAGTACACTTGAAATTTGCTGAACTAAACAGTAAAGGCTATTTTATTAATGAAACTTTGAATTGTTGAATAACACTTTTCAGAAAGTGCTGCTAGTTGATGTTTAATTAAACCGACATAATGATGCATGCAGTTGGGGACGTGCTGCATGACAGAGCTACACTGAATGTGACTTTGTAATCACAAGAAAATGATGAGAAAACTAAAAATATTAGCAGAAAACTTTTGCTGCGGAAAAAGAATACATGGCCTTTCTGGACTTCTGTACTTGAGACTTGAGGGTGCCCACATGATTATAGGCCTACTGTCCTGTGTAGTAGAGACTCGGAAAATGCATAACCTCAGATGTGACTTTATGCCCAGAGTATAAGTTCATTTTCCATAGTAACATCTGAACAAGGGGAAACTTTTAGCTTGTGTTTGAAGGTGACCAAGAAGATTTATAGTCTAGCAGGTTTATGAACCTGGAGATGGAGCAGATAGCTGACTGCATGGTTTTTCTGTACATGTCCCTTTCAGTCAGTCAGTAACTGTACCAAACTCTTCCTTGTATCATGTCAGTATTGGACCAAGGAAGAGACTGACAGCCACTGGTGAAACATCACACTATTTAATAGGATGCACAATTAAACAAAAATTACACAAAACGGTAAAATCAATGAAAAGCAGGGGAATTTCTAGCTATAGGGGCTGGGGCACATGACGTCATCATCACTACACTCGCCATGCAGGGTGGGGGCTTCACTTACAGTATCTCTACAGGATGACGGGAGCTGGCCTTAGAGGTCAGGGTGGTGTTACGATCCCCGGTCTAGGGTCAGGGACCGCCAGAAAGGTAAGGGCTTTCCCTGGAGAGTCGGCAGGGCTCCTCCTAGAACTTACGGCACGTAACAGTGGGAAAATATTTTTTAAAATAGACTTAACAGACAAATAAGTATAAACCTGAACGATATAAGTGACACTTGTTTCTATTCAAAGAGCATTATTAGAATGTAAATGACTAAGACTGAAGCTGACACAATCCTTTAAATTTAAGTTTATCCTTTAAACCTAGTTCCAAACCCAGCAAACTTTTTGCTGACATAAAATTTTGTGCAGTTCTCATGCTTTTTCATTTTGGACGGTTAAAATGTATTTAAAGTAGGAAGTAAGAAAAGTTGTGTAAGAAACAACTTCACACTTCTCTATTTAGTGTAGAAGTTGGAGTCGGTTTGAGCAATCTTAGTAAATATGCTTATTAGACTATGATTACTATAAATAATCTTTGTGCAGTTCAATTGTTGAAAGACCAATTGAATTAAAACAACAAACCACCCTTCCTTCTAGATTCCATTACAATCATTTTA